TCAAAGTTATTATTTCTCTCGCAATATATATAAACGTATGTAAGTAAGGTGATGAACACACGAGTAGACAAGTAGTAATGAGAAAATAACTGTCTATCCTACTTCCTACTAGTTCAGCTAATTGTGAATGCGAAAGTATACGAATGTTTGCCAATTTGTTACTCAGTCACAGAATTCAGCCCACTAATAGGTTTCACGGGAATTATATTCGACGTCTGCGTTGATGTAGCCCCAGGTTAAAGCTAGAAATGATCGATTTGTTTACTTTGTCTTCACAGAGATACAAAACAATAATAGCCAGAATAAAAATTATAGCAACAAAAGACAAAAATATGGAATTCTTAATCAAATATTTTATTAAATCATTTAAAATTTTAGCTTGATCTAGTGCTTTATTATTTTATGCATGATAAATCGTAGGTATTCAAAAGTATATGGATATAAAAATGCACCAGCTCTCAAAGTACGTACCTATGACATAGCACGCCTTAGCACTCTATCTAATTATTGGTTAGTGTGTGAAGTCAGATGTTGTTAAGGAGATGAATCTTGATTAATACGCGCCAAGCACAAGTATGAATAGTTGGAAGCTGCTACCAACATCCCACCTCCAATGAGATTGCATCTCTTTGCCAGCTAACAGCTTCCCGACACGATCTTGTTGGTAGACATTCATTTATCATTGCAAAACTATAAAGCAGTAAACTAACTGATTAAGGTTTAATTGGCCTTTCAGTTCTAAATAATATCAAATTTGTATTGGTAACGTTACTTTAAACTGATGACCATTTAAATGAACGTTGTGCAACGAAATGAGTGAGTCTCAGGCGGATGAGAATGGGTTCACCGAGACCCGACATTAGTTCTTGGAGTAAGGGTCTTAAGGGCTTTAACGGGTAAGTTGATCCCACCCTTCTGGCTGGTCCTAGCGATCCCAGAATCCCGAATCCATACACAAGTTGCATTTCACCTGCGAAAACAAAAAAGGTCGATGTCCAAACCAAAAATATCGTAAGCATGTATGAAAAGAGAACATCGAGAAAATGAAAGATATAAAGAGGTTCTTGTGGTTCTCTTCGCTACCCTATAAGATAGAAATAGATAATTGTTATTATTACTAGTATGAGCAATTTTGTTGTGTTAAATTCATATGTATGATAGTCGACAGGACGGGTATGAAGTTGAGCGTGCTGAATATCATGTTTAATTTAGATGCAATTTTGGGTCCTTTTATATCAATTTTTAAGTAATAGCCCTATTACTTGTACTCGCTACTGTTAAATCATTTAGGTTTTCTTTTTATTAAAACTTTAAAAGAAAACAAACCACCGCATAATGTTACTACTAACTACTGTATTCTCCTGTGCCATCGAACGTGTGAATTATAAATACACGTGTTTCTGGAATTTAAATAAACTTCTTATGATATTAATTGAGTACAAAATGAGGGTAGACTATTTCTAAACGAACTGTAATATGTGGCAGTTATTAACTCTAAGAAAAAATTAATAATATCAAAATATAAATAACTTCACCTAAATGTACTTAGGTATTTGGTGGTAAAGCACTCGTATTATGGAAATCTAAAACAACATACGTACCACAACATCCAGACCCGAGACGATATAGTAAAGTCCATTATTACATTAACCTGACCAAGAATCGTACCCAGGACCTCAGATATACCTTAAAACCGGTGTAGCCACGGAACTCATCTTGTTATTATACAGCTACAGCCATTCACACGTTGAATTGTCTAACGTTGCGCTCGTATTTATAAAATATAGCAATTAAGACTTCTCTGTAGCACTTAAATTCTAATTAAGGCATAGAGTCCAGGTCAAATTAGGTACTCTACGTAGTACATATACATTGTCATATATTCTTAGTCTCAGTTGCAAATTACTTTAACAATAACAAAGATGCTGAAGTACCGTTAAGCAAATAATCAGTTGCACCATTTGGATTTTGGTTATATGACGTCATTACTTTAACTGGTAACAATAACCACGTTAAAGTTATTGTTTTACTATGCCGAGAAAGATTAGGAGTCAATGTTAAAGTTAGTGTGACAGTTACTGTCAAATTTGACATAGACTACAAATTTAGCTGCTAATAAAATGCAATCCTTAAGACTGCTGTACCTGCGATTTCGTCAGCGTGGAAATTAGCCCAAGTTACTCCTTATTACATAGGTTATCTACACGTGAAAGTCTTGTCAAAATCAGTCCAGCCATTTCAGAGATTAGCCGGAACAAACAGACAACAAAAAATGAAAAAAAAAATGTTGATATATGTACCGTGTATACATACATATGAATTTAGTAAAAGTCGGTTATTTTAATATTACATACAGCCACTCCAATTATATTTATTTGCAGAGTAAGTAAAGAACTACTACGACAAACTACTATGCAGTTTGGCAGATGTAATTCTAAGATGTGGCAGATGTAGTAGTAGTATGTAGTATTTCCAAAAACAGAAAAAAAATACGATAGTAAATCAAATACAGATTTTTATAAAAATCATTTATTGTAACTTTACATAAACAACTAACTGCAACGAGCACTATACATTTCATCAAGAAAACAGACCATTTTATAATCGAGATTTTAAATAAGATTTCGAATTGCGTTGTAAATGTGTAGAATCAGTTTCCTAAATCAATTTAGGATGTAGAATCAAGTGCTTGAATAGTTAATCGATTATAAGCCAATCGTATATGTAAGTCTGTCTTCAAAAGCAAGAAACTGATTCTCGGATTTAATTATTATATTCGGAATATTCATTTGTTATAGCAATCGAGAAAATTCTCCTGGAAACTAGGACAGTACCATTTACTAACATTTCTAAGTGATATGGATATATTTTTTATTTATTTACCGAGTCCAATTTTTTTGCCATAAGATTGGCAAAATGGACTTTTAGTTACTAAGTTTTAATTATCCTTAGAAAATTTACAATGTGGAGACTCTAAACTGCTTTACACTGCTTTACACTGCTAAGTATCAGATTTTCCACTTAATTTTTTCTACGCTTCCATAATTTTTTATGACATCCGTATTTTTTATGAGTTCACGAGATGTCATTTGATTTTGTTAACATTGAAGCGAAGAGGTGTGATAATTGAGTTATTTTATGTTTATTTTTTAGTCTGTTACAATAAATAACATATTCGGTGCGGTTTTTTTTGTAGGAAAACCGGCAATATCATGGCACAGTGGAGCTTGGCAAATCAGAGCAGCTGTTATTCTGTAATACCAGTAGCCTAGAATTCGTTGCTGTCACAGTTTATAGGTTTTATTAAATAAAACCCTTTGAAGACGGGTCTATGTGATTTAACCTCTATGCTTTGTGTTTTTTTTTAATAATAGCACTGTAGGGCTGCTCTGTGTGTGGTGCTGCCAGGGATGAACAAAATGGAATTCCAGAACACGGAACCTGTAAAGGGTCCGAGTCGCCAATAAAACCGTTTAAAAGTTGTTTCATTTAAGAATAACATTCTGTCTAGCTCCAAGCGCGCTGTTTGTGACTGTTGACTAATACATTCACTCCTATCCACTTCAACGTATGTCACCCTTAATTGTAGACTTCTGTTAATTATCATTGTATGTTCCATAAACTTTTGTGATGTCCAAATTATCCAATTCCAACAATTAAATTTAGCATTGTGAATTTTACTGTTTCGAATTTAATTGTAGCGTTGCTTGAAAAATATATTCATTGAAGGCATAATAAAGAAATAGATGTTTTACTGCGTATAGTGAAAACTGTTTGTAATTTAAGATAATTAATGCATGTTTATATTTTTTATAAGATTTCGTATAACAGATTGAAAATAATAAGTAAAATTCAAAACCAAATAAAGTCCAAAACTTAAAAACGACATTTGATTTTTATAAATTAAAAATTACAGTTAGCAGCAAACAGGTATGTTTCTGTTTATAAACTGATACTGTATTGTACTGATATTTTTAGAGAACTTTCAATATGAACATATTACCTTGTTTAATAAATGCATGGTATATTGTTATTTATTTAACAACTACTCCCATCTTTCTAATATTAACTCAATAAATAATGCAGTCTCACTCTATGATCGTGGATCTTTCAAATGCTTCGAAATAAGTATTCAGATTTTTTATATAAGGGTAATTATACACTCTTCAGCACAGTTGTTTTATTTTTATGAACCAGTTTATTTATTAAAGGTTGGTAGGTTGATTGCTTAAAAAGGAAAGTGAAAGTGATTTTTTCACAAAAGTTAGTGTTAGTAACTTCTAATAGATATGTAGTCAATTGCTTTTCTCTTACTAACCACTTTATTTTCTAAAGCTATAATTATTTTTAGATCTTTATTTATTTAAGAATTGTGATGTTATCAAAAACTTAAATATGAACCATCTGTTACTTCACATTGAGTTCGTCTATCATAGCCATTTTTCAAGCAACACTGCCATAAACCATTACAATACAATGTTGGAAAGCTCGTTAATATCGGCAACATGAGTTACGTAAAGCTATTTTTATATATTACAAAGCACGCCATATTGTCTTTATTATGGATACATGTAGTTATTTACAAAACTTTCGTATATACTGCTCTAAGGCGATTTTTTTAAAATTAAACAGCGAAAACTACAGATATTCATTAAAATGACTGCGGATATGGCACATTTAAACATACAAAACTATCAGTCTTTCAAATTGAGAAATAGATCTAAATATATTTACAATATCTTTCATAAAAATAAATAAGATTACAAATTAACGAATGATATCTTCGATGTGTTTATAACGGCGTTAATTTCACTAATACTTATTATTATTTGATATATTTATTCATTAACTTAATTGTATGACTGTACAATACATATTGAACAGCTCTTAGCTGAAATTTACAAAGTATAGATACTTCTAGTTGTACTAAAGTTTAACAAATTACTTAACTACATTGGCACTATGATAGATATAATACAAAAGTTTTGACATGATTTGTGTCAGCTGATAATAAAAGATGCGATGGTGACAAAGAAGGCGCTAGTAGTGGTAGCACAACCGGAAGATTGTGTCGATTCGTAATCTGTTAATTAAAAAACAGACAGCTTAATTAACTATTCAGTTTAACAATGTAAACCGTTTTATAATAAAACAGTTACATTTATATTTATTTGGCAGTGGCAAAAAGTATGTCTTTAAAATTGAATAATGGGTGAAATATTATTATGTTTAATCAAATAACTTACCAGAGTCTTTTAATTCTTCGAACTCGTAGTCTCCTATGACTCTATTTTCGGCAGAACTATCACGGAAACGGCTTTTGTGCTTCCCTGTGAAGGCATTCAAACGTATAAATAAAATTACATCGGGGGAAAAAAATTATCGACGATCTGTTTCGTTACAATAAAAATCTTTCGGGTTTTCCTCGACTGACCATGAAAGTAGACTTTCGAGCCTCAACGAAACATATGACGTCATAAAGAATAGAAACGAAAGGCCAAATCTATAACAATACGAGGGCATTGGAAGTCAAAGCCCAAACAAAATCGCTTTTCCCACAATAATATTACTAACGACGCAATTGTACGGAAGCATTGGGTCGCGCGGCAAAACCAATAAATACAAAATCCAGATCGACCTTTTCCGGACGCTTGCAGGAGCCGATGAATGTATGAAGCGCTGGGCTCGCCTCAACTTTTCATTTCTATTACTTTTCTAATAGGACTGTACGTGCTAAAATTGAATCCCCCAAAATTTGCCTGTAGGTAAATATTACGTTGATCATGAAAAATTAATTCGGAATTCGGGAATTGATCGGATCGAAAAGGGTTTCATTAGAAACTTCAGGGGCGTTGTTTGGACATTAATTATTTTGATGTCTGAATCGGTTTCAGGGAGCCATTCGGTGTTGTTACCTTTCTTCTTTTGTGGATGTGTGGGGACGTAGTTAACTGTGGTGCTCATTGTTGATGGTGCGGGTATTTCTGTAATAATGACACAATATGTAAGTCTACAATTAAAAGTTCTAAAAGGAGGATAGATAAAGCAGCCAAGTTTATGTTAGTTCTTCTCGGCACAAGGTCTCCCGACATAGATTTACGAACGTTTCGACTTTCTCAAGTGCTTGTACTTGTACTGACAAGACTGAATAAATGATTTTTATTTTTAATATTATTCAAATAGTATTAAAATAATCCTTTGAAAAGTTGTTACAATTTTCGATTGGGCAATTTTGGAAATATATCACCATTAATATGCACTAACAAATCACGAGTTACTATTGCCATCATCACCGGTCATTGAATTAAAATGGTACGCACGTCAGTTCTGGACACATTTAAGTGGTTAAATAATTTAACATTGCATTCACAATTATTTTGAAAATTGTTCGTTCTCAGGTTCCGTTCGTAAGAAACCACATGACTATATACTATAAATTAATTCATCTTCGTTATTTTACATGGAGGTATAACAAAATATATGGTGCTTAATTGAAAAATCCATTAAACATTTATCTTGTATATGTATATGACTCTAATACATACCATCGAGACGAATGAGCCCATCGGTCTCTCCGAGGGAATTCTTCGCAACGCATCTGTACGACGAGAAGTCCCGGGACGACACTTTCCGTATCGTTAATTTCATTTTCCTGCTGTAGCTGTCATCACTCAGAGATGTGACGTATTTACTTCCTGTTGACAGAAAAATACGAACGGTTCGTGATCCACTTATGTCCAGTTTGTGACATATATGTTATTGTGTTTGAAAACTGTTATAACATTTTATTTATATAACATTATAATTTTAATCTAAAATATTGTTAGAAATTAATTTTGATAATTTAGGATGTAATATTCTGTATTTCAAATCAAATGATAGGAGAAAAAATATTAATGAAAAGTTAAGTTGAATTTACATCGAAGCTTACAAAAAAAGACAAATAAATACACTTCTTTAAATCAAAGCCCCCTCAATAACATCAGCTTCAAGCAAATAAAATATTTTTTTTTACTATTTTTACTAGTATAACGTTATAAATATCACTTTATGAATACTAATCGGAACTTGATTCGTATTAGTGTACACACGAATCAAGTTTCAATTTGTATTCATAAATTCCATTTCACAGGTGTAAGATTTTAAAATTATAACGAATTTAGAAATAATAATCTAAATTTGGTTATTAAGTCCTTTAATTATTCGGCAAAAGTATAGTTGTTATTATGTATAAACGTATGTGTCCATAATTAAAGTCATACTCAAGTAATTTAACAAAACTTGGAGTTACCTTGCGAACTAGGCAAAGTTATGACTACAATACGAAGGAAATCCCATTATCAACACCACTACCAGCCCTTTTACGTCCCCACTGCAGGGGCTCAGGCCTTCCTTATGGATGATTAAGGAGGACGGGCCAAGACCTCCACGCTGACCCAATGCGGATTGGAGGGTATTGACGACTGCAAATGCAGCTGGGACCAACGGCTTAACGTGCCTTCTGAAGCACGGAGTAGCTCGAGATAATAATTTTTTGGTCACCCATCCCGTGACCGACCCTTGCGAAAGTTGCTTAACGACTACGATCGCGGGCCGCGGCGCCCATCCACTACACCACCGAGCTACTCCCATTATAAGGTTTAAAAATATAATATTCGTGTGGAACCCACACCGTGTAAGATTGTCTTGCTCTTGGTCGGTTTTATTTTTAATATTGGTTGTGAGATTTTCAATTGGCATTTTTGTCTATATTATTGTTAAAGAGGACAGATTTAATTATTTGTATATTTGAATAGGCTTCGAAAGCACTGGACTTTTTTTTAAATTCCCACAGGAAGCTGCATTATACGCGGTTGACTATAATTTATGAAGACGCGGGAAGATAGCTAGTTTTCATCTACGAATAAAAGTTTACAACATTAGTTAATCGTAAATTTTACACGTTATATTAATAATGAAAACTTTTGCAATAACAACTTATATTATTTAAGGAATAAAGCTATCAAGTTAAATAAAAAAAGAGTGAAATGTTCATTTAGATTTTTTACAAACCAAGCCGTAATTGTTACAGTTCCAAGGATTAAATAAATAGGATTGAGTTTATTACGCGAACGAAAAAAGCCTTTCAACGAAAATAGATCTCGTGAGTTGTCTAAAAAGTTAAAAGCAATTTATTAATATAATTTAAAGGTTAGTTTTTGAACTCGTCATAAAATATTAGCCAACTAATCAAGTTGAAGTTGTGCCTATACAATCTCTTTTTAAATATTACTAGGTAACAAAAGTTTTTATATTTTTAGGATTCCGTAGTAAATAAAAAACACTATATGTTTCTCTATGAGGATGATACACAAAAATGGTACAAATTGAGACTTAAATGTAACATATAAAATATTATATTTTAATGTTGATAACTATTGCGAAATCATTCTATTGATGTCAATTCCATTGATGTTTTTGCAACGTCGCTTTAAACATGTCGCAGTCACTTGCGCGAATTTAGTATGTTGCGGTGAAACTACAACATACTACATAGTTTCGCCATTTCCGTCTGTCCATCCGTCCATCCGTTTTTCTGTACTAGAAAGTTGTAATTTGGCATGAGTATACATATTAATTACGCCGACAAAATGGTAAAGTAAAATGTTGGAAAAAAAAGCTTTTAGGGTAACTTGCCCTATATGTTAAGTGGGGTTGATAATTTTTTTTCGTAATCCCAGTACCGTGGGGCATTATCGGATCGGTCTTTCAAAAATATTAGGGGTGTGAGAATGCTGTTCTTCGATTTAGTAAACTGTTTGTGACTAATTAAGCTTTAAAGAATTAATTTCGCTAGAGTCAAACTAAACTATAGTTCGTAAAAATTCAAATTTTAACAACGTTTAAATGTTAGTTAAAAGGAGAACTATCACACTTAAGTTTATTTTAGAAATTTACGAGTTAAAGTCGATCTAATTAAATCTAAAATTTTGAACAACTCCACAGAAAACAACAAACGTGATATTTTTTTGTTTAATCTTAGTTCTCATGATTTAAAACTTAATATCGCTTTTCAATCAAAATACTCGTAGGTTACAAAACGAAAGAAGAGCTTGCTAGCACAGAGGTTAGCGAGTTACGTCTGAAATGCGGAGTTAAGCAACTTTCGCAAAGACCCGTCATAAGATGGGCGACCGATGGGATTAATAATCTCTATCACCTCCTTGTTTGGTAAGGCACATTAAGTTGGTGCTGGTTGTATCTGCAGTCATGAATACCCAACAATTCGCTCTGGGCCCGCGTGATTTGTTATTAGTACAAAAAAATATTTAATTAATGTTTAAAAGCAAAAATGTGATTGTAGAACACTATTTATCAAAATGATCATCATCAAATTGAGTTCATATTATATGCGTATCAGGTTGTGTCGTTTTTAAAAGCATTTCATTGTACGAAGCGTGCAACGTAGTTACGTCGAGGAAATGGAATGGTGCATTTCTCGTCCTCTGCCTTGGGCGGCAAATGAAATGGTTATACAAAGATTTTCCTTACACATTGTTTGAGAATAGATTACTATTAATTTTGTTGTTTTATTTTAGAATTATAACGAGAATGTTTGATTGATTCTCAGAGAGAGCGTTTTATTTAATTAAAACAAACATTTATTCAGAACAATATTACTAAACAACTATTAATCAATATTAAATTATGAAACTCTCTACCTGTAGATATAAGTCCACGCTCAGTCACGGAATTCTTTTGCTAAACTTATAAAGGGACATTTTCTCGAGATGGATTCTTCCTCCTTAATTTGCAATTTATATATTACTTTAAATATCTTCTGTTCACACGCTTGCGTTGTGTTTCGTCGTGGTAGTGAGAGTACCGGAGGCCCAACCCCTCCCTATTCCCTTCCCTCCCTATGATCAGATTCATCCCTCAAAGGCCGGCAGCGCGCTTGTAGTCCCTCTGGTGTTGCAAGTGTCCATGGGCGACAGTAATCACTTACCATCAGGTAATCCGTCTGCTCGTCTGCCCCCTATCCTATAAAAAAAATCCTGGATTGGTGTTGTTTTCTTTGACTTAGGGTTTATATATATTAGCAATAACACCGCCCTTTGTGTTTATGTATCTAGTTTTATCTACTATAAGGAAATATATAATTTGCAATCAAGAATTTTAAAAATTTTGAATTAAAAATATTAATTATTTTCAAACGGGGTCAAACTAAATTACATCAATATTTGTTTAAAGAAATGTGTTACTCTTTTTTAATGTTGTAGAGTTCCTTCTATACAAATAAAAAGGGTGGGTTGAATGTGTGGTATTGTAAAGTGGACTAATGAAAAGAGTTGTATAAAATGAATATGGAAAATTTGGACTTTGACTGAATGCGACGATTCTTTTATTTATTGGAAAGGATTTGTTGGCAGCTTAAGATTTATGTTTAAAATAAAGTAGGAAAGAAGAATATTTTTTTTTTAGCTTTTTTAATATGATAAATATCAATTACATATATTGCATGTAAAATTGATTAAATATCAACTATTATGCCGCGACTTTGCCTTCGTTAATTATAGCCTGTGGCTTGTTTTAGACGAGAGAATGAAAAATCGGTTTAGTAGGTTCGGGGCATATTCAATGTCAATAAAGAAACAACTAACTTTAGTCTTTCCCCTCATTAATTGTATTAATAACTTTAAACGCAAAACACTATTTATTCGGACTTTTATATACATAAAAAGTTGGATGTAATTACGAACGACTGTGTTTTGATGAAACAGTGATATATTACTGTTTTTTTTTTAAATCGTTCTGTAAAAGGATAACACATTCCACACTACTCGAAGGATAAGAAAAGAAAAAATATGTATATGCAATTTAGCCGTACAAAAAGGTTTGATATATATTTGTGTTGTGACATCAATCATAGAGCATTCCCGTCGTCACTTGCGATATAAATAAATCATTGAACGGTTCCGACGCGACCGTATTGATGTATTCACGAGGCAAACAGCTCTACTTGTTGTAGGCACGATTTCTAAGCAGTGAAAGGAAACATTGTAGTCATCACTGTCAACGTTCCGAATTTTATGAAGCGTACTATCTATCGGTGTTGTTTTTGTTTTGTCATTTTTATATCGTTCTTCGTGTTTTCTTAATTCAAATTTAGGTTATCTGACATACACTAAGTTGGGGAAACGCTCATAAATTTTTTCATTAGTTTAAACTAGTATAAAGCGACATTGCCGATACGTAATTTCAAATTAGGAACATTACATTAGAGCTTGAAGTCGTTATTAAACTTTAAAGGATATTTGTGCAGCTGGGAGTAAATAGGCTATTAATACATGGATTTTAAGAGCTAGTTAGAGAAACCAGAGCTTCATAGTTAGAGATACGGTATATGTTAATCTGATACTAGATATAAAGTTTATTCAATCTTTTCCACTCTGATTTGAAGAATTAAGGTTGCTTAAATTAAAACTAAAATACTTTAAAATTCGGTTTGTTTTAATATGATCTTGTATTAAGATGATTATGGGAATACAAATTCATTATTAAATTAGTCTGTCAATTCATGTTAGCGCATCAAAGAGTCAAATTCATTACAAATAAAGTGCATTCTAATGAATTCGCGTGAATTCGAATACTTAACCCTTAGAGTG